GCATTCCTCATAAAGTCTTAAAAGCACCAAACTCCATGATTGAATCCCACAGGCAATCTAGAGAGCTTCAGAACCCTTTATGGTAGAAGCCAGAAAGTTGGAAAGTATCCTCATGTCCCTAAAGTAAAATACAAGGGATCCTAGCACGAATCCTCCTAAACCCATGTTCCAACTTTCTGGCTTCTACCGTATCTCTGCATAATGGTGACCAAGTTCAGCAGGGGCCCATTATACATTCTATTATAATCAGGACCCCCCCCCACAATATTGTAGGTAGCTATTAAGGCCCCTTAAACCCTAAACCCTAAACCCTAAACCCAAACCCCTAAACCCTAAACCCTAAACCCTAAACCCAAACCCCTAAACCCTAAACCCTAAACCCTAAACCCTAAACCCTAAACCCAAACCCCTAAACCCTAAACCCTAAACCCTAAACCCTAAACCCAAACCCCTAAACCCTAAACCCTAAATCCTAAACCCTAAACCCTAAACCCTAGGAGGAGGAGTTGCCGGAGGAGGTGCTCGCATCTCCAAAAGTTTCGGCTTCTCGGCTGCAGTCGTTTAGGGCTTTGGGGTTTGGGTTCAGGGTTTAGGGTATGGGTTTAGGGTTTAGGGTTTGAGTTTAGGGGTTTGGGTTTCGGGTTTAGGGTTAGGGTTTAGGGTTTAAAGTTTAGAGTTTAGGGTTTGGGTTTCGGGGTTTGGGGCCCGCGCTCTCTCAGGTGTCTGGTTTTCGGGCAACTTCCTAGAGATCGGATTTGGGCTGTATGATGTGTTAGTCCATCCGGGTGTCTGGGTTGTCATTTTTTTTGTGGTGTAATGTACTGTTTTGCTTTTGAGATTTGGATGCTTGGGTGTTTAGTTAGTGAACATGCCAGTGGCTTAATCCAAGGTGCAAGATTTGATCGCTTAAGGCTTAGGGTTTGGCTAGCAGGACCCCTGACAGGAAACAGACCCGCACATGTAAAGAGATGTAGTTTCCGGTTGCATGGGTCTCGCTGATTTCTAGTGGTTGACTGAATGCATTTTCAGGCTTTGGCGGGTCTGGTCTCAAGTGCTGAACTCCTCCACGGTCGACAGACCTCTGAGTCCGAGAGAGCGAGAGAGAGGTGTGAAGTTCGAGTGTTCGCGATTGGTCTCCAGGGTCTGGGTATGGGGCGCAGAATGTCTGTTCATGTTTCGAGAGGGTAAATAATACTTGTATTGAAAAGATGACAGTTTACCGGAGCTTGCCGATTGATCCTTGATGTTCCAAGCGAGACCCTAACTGTCCCTAACCGCACTGCCCCAAATCGGAGCCTCGTCTAATCGGCAATCCTTGTTTCACGACTGGCCCAGACAGACCAGCACTTTTCTCTTCGGGTTTTGAGTTTAAAAGCGGGTGTGGGGTACCTACCTCACGGTTTCTATTCCATCTGAAGTTTGGGACCCATTCCGGGTGAAGAGGATAAACAAACTTTCATAGAACACTTTGCGAACGCACTAAGCAATTCTTCTCGCTGGCGGAACAGAACCCTCTAGTACTAATACCTAAGCCCCCTGAAAAGCCCGATGAATCCTTATTCTAATGCTTACCCATAGGCTCCATAGTAGTGTCCTTTTGGGGGTTCATATTTAGAGGTAATCCCAAAAAGGAACTACAATGGAGCCTATGGGTACGGGCCCTTTTAGATTTTGTATACGGCAACCAACGAAAACCTCTTGAAGCAGATTTGCGCACGCTGCGCTCGACGCCGCAATGAAGCTCCGGAGGACCGGGTGCAGACCGTGGCAAACTAAACCCAAACCCTTAATACCTAAGCCGTTTTGCTCATCATAGTGCAGTTTCACACAGTATTAGCAGACCTCGAGCCATATGCCTCGCCTACATTGTCCGAGTGTGAGCGCCGAAACCGTTTTGTTCAGGATTGTTGAAGGGTTCAGTTTTGAGGGAGTCCGGGGGGGGTTCGGGCGTCACTGTGGTGGGTTTTGGGAATGTCAGGATGTATGCTTTCACAGGGTTGGGTCTGAGGGAGGATATGGGTTCAGGGTGACGAGCCATCTCCAGCACTCGAGCGGCAGGATTTTGAACAGATGGTTCCGAGCTCAAAGCATGTGTGGGTTAGCATCTTCTGGTATCTCAAATCCTTTGCTGTGGGTGCCTGTGTGGGACTGCGACTAGTCACACGATGACAGTATGCACGTTGAGTGAAATCGGCTCAGCTACACACCCCATGTAGATCCTAGTGAGTGCGCCCTTCCGCTGGATTTGGGTTTAGCTTGTTGGGTTTAGCATGGTGGAGTTTGGACTGTTTAGGTTTTTCCTGCTGTACTGGTGTGAAGGGGGTAGACAGTCAACGAGTATGTTTCACGCCGACCTCGCACCAAGAACCTCGCCTGGCATGTCCGAGTCGTGAGAGCGTAAACCGCAAACCGACTGACAGGTGCTTGTACTGTAAACCCTGACTGATTTCTGAATCCTGCCTTAATGTAGGAAACCTGGTTAAGAAACCTTGGGCCTATAACCCCAAAATAGTAGGATTCATATAAGGAGGCAAAATAAAAGCCCAAGGTTTCTCAAGCCGGTTCCTACATGACCCTTGAGAGCATGTTCGACCTTGCAAGGACGAAGAGGCCACCAAAGATCAGCCGACAGGCAGGTGGTGCCCTCGCCGAAGCAGTGCAGAGGAGGACGTTCCAGTTTCGGTGTCGGATTACATAAGGAGGGCTTAGCATGTATACATATATATATATGTATATATATATATATATATATATATATATATATAAATATATACGTATGTATATACGTTGTACATACACACACCTACATACACGCCAACATGCTTGCTACACTAGATGTACATGAACATACAGCGTACATGTATATGTACATACATATGAACACACACACACACATATATATATATATATATATAAATAGATATACACAGATATACATACTGTTCAGGTCTTATGCGCAGGGCTCAGAGTCCAGGTTCGAAGGTTTTCAAGGTATGGACATGTTGACAAGGTGTTTGGCAAGTTGGTAGGCCTGCAGAGTTGTGCTCGAGGTTTGGGGCTTAGGCTACGGTTTGGATCAGTAACCCTTGAACCCACATGGTGCCCTTATACGATCCCACTTGACAGGAACCATCAAAGAACTTCTTTCGTAAGTTTCTCCTCATCGAGTCTACTGGACGGATGCTGCCAAGAGAATCTTTTAGGGCCATCATGTCTGTTGCCGATCTGCTCGAATTAAGGCTACAGATATGACGATGCGAAGTCTTGCTCATGCATAATCGAGAATCCTTCTGCTTATATAGTGTATAGGATATTTTCCTTGTTTGTCTAAACATCACAGTATATCCGGACAAACCAACATCCACACACAGACTCTGGGCACCAGGATGCGCCCGACTTGGATGTGGCGGTACATCAGGCGAATGGGAATCCTGCAAGCTTAAGCAGATGAGGTTGACGCTGTTATCGGCAAAGGTGGTTCGGAGCTATGGGATTACGGGATTCATCGAGGCATGACTTGTTCAAACATGGACCTACGTGTCCCGTCCAATCTGAGCAAAGATAAGTGCGAAGCTGTTTGCGACGTACCGAATATGTATAAGACGCTGCAGCCATAACCCACACCCCACCCAGAGCAACAAAATTGCCAACGACTCCATATCCATACGATGGAATCATGAGCTGCACGGTCTGGACTTCTGAAGTTCCATGAAGTTCCACACAAAGCAGAATCTTCTGGCTCAGGATGCTGCCGCACAGGAAGAAGCCCGTGTCGATTTTGCTCTTAACCCTGAAACTCCTCAAAACCCTAAAGCCATCAGTTTGAAGCCCGCAACCCCTATAAACCCGAAACTAAGTCCATAACTCTATTTCCCGAGCCAAAACCCTAATACCTAGAGGCTCCATAGTTATTTCACAAAGCAAGTACTATGGAGCCTCCAGGTAAAGCCTGTAGGGTTTCCATATTCGGAATTACTAGCATGATTTGAGGACGTATCCCCCATAACAATACCTAGAACCCCTTTGGGCCAAGAGGCCTCTAGGTATAGAGTTTCGATCCATCTGCCCTAAACCCTAAACCTATAAGGTCACTTGCCTGCCTTGTGCGAGTGTGAGCGTCGAAACCTATAAGGTCATCCCAAAAAGGGAATTACCATGGAGCCGCTGGAGCCTACAAATATCTGGCGTGCCCAGTAGTACCCTTATTCCCCTTTTGTAGTCCTAGGTTCTAGGTTCTCAAAAAGGGAGCCCTTTTATTCCTAGCTTACTGGGCATCCTAGATAAAGCCTATGCTCAGGAAGAGCATGGTGCAGCTCATACGGCTCGCGAGAAAATCCGCGAGGCCCGCTCAGAGCGGTCGTGCGTTAGATTGCTACAGTGTTTTGGAGGAACAGGGTTCTTTTAAAGGGTTCCTTCAAAAGGGTCTATCAAGGATTTATGGTAGGGTTCTATACTACAGGGCCTTTATTGCAGGTGTTTGGAGGATCTTTCTAGGGGCCTTATTAGTGTTTTTTTCGGAGTTCTTGTGGGCTTGAGGGCATTTAATTTAGGGCTTAGGATGTTTCAGGTTTCAAGGTGTTTTTTGGGGTGAGGACTTTAGAAAGCCAAAGCCAACCGTGTTTTACGCTTTTGGGCAAGTTGAAGACTCAAGGAAAACTTCTGATGACCGCCAATCCAATGCCGAAGCAGTGTATTATGCTATACCCGGGCTTTAGAGCACAGTATTAATACTCCCATGCCTAAATCGGAGTGTACCCTACAGTCAAGCCCTTTCTTACATTGCAACTAGCCCCAACGAATGACTCAAATCAAGTTGCAATAGGGATGGCCTCAATCAACTTTAGCCATTCCAGTCTCTTGAGAAACTCAGCGTTGCCTTCTGGATGTAGCATTTGAGGAAGATCGTTTGTGACAAGTCGCACTTCTGCTTCACGACTTGCGTCCGCAGCCTTGCAACAAACCGCTTCTCAAGCTCCAGCATAGACACCAGGTGCTTCGGTATGGCCGTCATCCGAAACATCGGGGCCACCCTTTTGGGTGCTGCAGTGGCGAACTTTCTGCCCTTCCTCTTCCTCCAGGCCGGCATGAGCAGCGTTTCCGCCAAGTGGGTCTGGATGACAAGCCCACCCAAGTGCGCGCCGGCAGCACCTAGCACATGGGACTTCGGCGGCATGGCCAACATCGCTGCTGGTGCCACGGCAAACGTCACGTGCAAGAATGGGGGCACTGCCTCGGTGGCCACCGTCTCCTGCCCCTCCACGAACGAAGCCGCCACCCAGCCCTCTCAGGACCCAGACTGGTGGGGCCCCTGTGGCTTTGGTGACTCCTGCGTTCAGGACCTGAGCATCGGTAGTGATGTGACCTGCACAGGGGGCACCTCCACGGATGCCGGTAACAGCGTCCGCTTCGCGGCGGTGTCCGGCGCCTCGGCTGTGGCGGGACTGCTGGTGCTCCAGTGAGCGGGGCAGAGCAGAGTGCTTCTGCTTCGTGCAGAGCTGTGACCTTGTTCCGTGCTCCAGATCACCAAATACACGATTATTACCGGCTAAGTACTACCGGGTACCGTATGACACCGGCACCTCTCGTGGTGGTAGTTGCAACTGACTTTTGTTGCCTAAACTTTGATCCTCCCAGGGTGCAGCTCTGCCTTTCGACGAGCTTGCTGGATTCGAGGGCCTGGAGGCTTACAGGATTCTGGGCAGAGGGGCAACCGTAGTCGTGCTGGCCTCTATCCGTGGCCACCTAGCTGGGTCTGATGGTCAGGATGATGTTGATCGTCATCATCATGCTGCTGATGAGGTGATCCTGCTCTTGATGATGATTATGATGAGGAGGAGGAGAAGGAGGAGGAGGAGGAGGAGGATGGGTCGTCGGGACCATGCTGGCGATGGTTAGGATGACTGTGGCGATGATGGTGTTGATGTCGATGATGCTTCGGTTGTATATAATGGTGGTGACCATAACCTATGCGATAGTAACGGCCCAAAGATGATGGTGATGGTCATGGTAGCGAGTTTGCCACTGCGATTGCGCTTTGGGACACTTGTTCATGTCCATTACGGATTTCTAGAGGTACGAATCATAAATACATTGCATATCCTTTAGAAAAATCCGCCTCATGAGCTAGAAATCGCTCCCCTTGCCCCGGACAAGTTGTCCGGTGCCCTCGGATCCTGGACGCAGCTTGGAGCCGTTGCAGGCTCTTAGTCTGGGCTGCTGCGCAAAAAGGGGCCCTGCGGCTCTCATCTTCTTCAGTTTAGTTTAGCTTAGTGTTTTTGTGCCGGTGGGGGTGGGGGTAGTTTTGCAATGGCGACATAGGGTATATGAAGGGCTTAGGGGTGGGGGTAGTTTTGCGATGGCGACATAGGGTTTTGAAGGAGGTGTTCGCTGCTGTCTGTGCGGTTTCGAGCTCGGGACTGCTCAGGAAAACTCAACTTGTCCGGGTACCACTTGGAGGGTCGGGGGACTTAGTAACTGGTTATTTTAGGGACTTATAAGTACCATTACCCCAATTAGAGTCCCTTTTAGGGTACTTATAAGTCTACTTACTACCTACTTACTAAGTCCCGCGACCCTCCAAGCAGAACCGAAGGATCTGAGAACGCGACACCAACTAGGTAGGGCTTTGGGACATTTTATATTTTCCCTTATTGGGCTAAAGAGGATCTTTTTTACTAATATTTTTCAAAGGCTTTAAAAGCCCCACCTAGCCAACCTTAACAGTAACACTGAACCTGAATAAGCGGTAGTAAGCACCAAGAGAAGGGCCGCTTTGAAGCGAAAAATCACAGGACAGGGCTCCGCTTCTAGGAGGATTTTGATCGACACCCTACATGGCCCAAAATCCCTACCCTCTACACTCGGTTTGGGGTTTCGGCTTATTTCTTGACATCATGAACTTCATCGTCCGCGCCCCGGGTATTGACACTCCAAACCCCACATCTTTCGAAGCTCCGGGATTATTGACCCTCTGGGCATCGGCTGCGTGCCCAAATTCTGCTTTCTGCAGGATGGCAGCTTAGGTGTAGGGTGCGAGTTTGAGACCAGAGAGGGGTTTCAGCGGCAGCCCAGCATTGTTCGATAGTGGCTTGTGCGGCGAGACGCAAGGCTTTTTAAAATTAGCGGAACAGACGTGGACAGGGACAGCCGAGCTTGTAATTAGCACGGTCAAACGGTGAGTGAAATCGTGCGTGGCATGCTGCTTGGCATCGCCCATATCGCAGACTTAAAGCCTTCGCAACCCCTAAAGCCCTTTTCCTGAAAGCTCCAGTGCTATCTCGCTTGTGCCTACAAGCCTTGACACCCTAAAGTTCTCAAGCCTTAAGCCGAATCGCACCACCCCACCCTGACCGCTTAAGTGGGTTCGAAATGCCCAACGTAAATCCCTTCTAAAACTCTAGACCCTAAGATCCTAGAAACCGTATGAAAACCGAAGGTCCTATAAACTGTTATGAAGGCCTTATGAAACCCTGAATCGCATACCTTTGAAGACCCGTGAAAACCCTAAACCCTATCGCCTGTTTCCACTTTTCAGAAGCTGTCCGGCTGTCTGGGCGAAGCCCCAGGCGTCCCTTTTGGACCCGGCTTGGTGATGGAGCCAAGGTTACTTCCTGTTCGTGAATACATATGTCCCTAGCAGTAGAATAGGCAACCTTCAACCTGTTTTGGGTAGTATAGTTCCTATGTATTCCCTATATAACCAAAAAGTTTAATTGTTAGTTCCCCATGATACCCGACAAGCAGGTATCGATGCGAGGATACAAAGTTGATCACATTTATTGAGTTGTGTACTTAAACATTCATTTGATACTCCAATTTATATATATATATATATATGTGTGTGTGTGTGTTGTGTTTATATGTATACGTATATACACATGCACGTATACAGTACACATACTAGTCTGCCGCTGCTGGCTATTACTTTACTGCTGCTGCTGCTGCTGCTACTACTACTCCTAGTCCGACTACTACTCGCACTGCTACTGCCACTGCTGCTGCTGCTGCTACTACCACTACTACTACCATTACTACTACTATTATTGTTATTACTACTACTACTACTACTACTACTACTACTACTACTACTACTACTACTACTACTACTACTACTACTACCACTGCCACCATTACTATTACTACTACTGCTACTACTACTACTACTACTGCTACTGCTACTGCTACTGCTACTGCTACTGCTACTACTGCTACTACTGCTACTACTGCTACTACTGCTACTACTGCTACTACTGCTACTACTGCTACTACTACTGCTACTACTGCTACTACTGCTACTACTACTGCTACCACTACTGCTACCAGTACTGCTACTACTACCACAACTACTACTACTACTACTACTACTACTACTACTACTACTACTACTACTACTACTACTCCTACTGCTACTGCTACTGCTACTGCTACTGCTACTGCTACTGCTACCACTACTGCCACTACTACTTCTACTTCTACTACGAATGCTACGACTGCTACTACCGCTGCTACTGCTGCTGCTGCTACCATCACCACGACTGCCACCGCCAACAATTACCTGGCTCACAGTTTCGTATCCTCAGTAGCCTCTAAGCCCGAGGACACAGCAACACTTGCAGCCACCCCCCAGTTCGCATCTCACGTTGTTAATCTCAGTTTGTCGGTTACATAACCCAGAACACTGCATGTTTTTCTTGTCTCATCAACTGGGCAACTCAGCTTTGGCATCTGCATGCCCAAAGCCATCAACCTCTTAAGCCCTTCATGACCCCTTATATAACAATATGCAACTTCCATGAAACTTACAAACTTCACAAAACTGCTATCACGCCCTGATCACTCGATCAAAGCATGACCTGGGCTTCCATACAACTTTTATACCTCAAGTCGACTCAGTCGGACAACTGGCTTCCAAAGCTGTCGAAAACGCGCAGGGAGATGCGTGCAAAAACCTGGGGGACAACCCATGTAGCAGTCGAGGTTGAGGGCTTTTGGGCTCTTGGGTGCTGCAGGGTGTAGAGTGCAGCGCAGCGATGGAGACAGTCCTTGTTGAGAACTTGCTGTCTGCGATCATAGGGCCTGGGTTTTACCTAGCTCTAAATTCTAAACCCACCCTACCGCAACAAAAAGGTAATGTAGGAACCTGATTTAGAAACCCTGGGCCTATAATATAACCCCCAAAATAGTAGGATTCACATAAAGAACCCGAATAAAGGCCCAAGGCTTCTTAATCCGGTTCCTACATAAATCAGTCAGAAGTGAGAAGTGCGAAGCTTCCTTTTTCGACAGCTTCTGCTGTAGTCCCAGTCCCTCCTGGTCCTGCGGCTAGCAGAACAGGAGCGATTGATGCCAAAGCGGAAAAAAGAGTAAATCCTAAACCCTGAAGCCAGTTCACTTCTTGGGCTTCGGAGGTAGCAGCTTGGTCAGAAAGCCACAGCTATCTGATTCAGCTGAGTACGTGACGTAGATTCGAACTTTTCGGATATATGCTTTTGTACTCGGTATTTTCATGTAGTTCAGATAGCGCCGTTAGCGGGGTGGGGGGGGTTCGTTCTCTCGGACTATTGAGGGGGGGGGGGGGGGCCTTACTCCAGGGGTATTGAGGGGGGGGGGGGGGTTCATACTTCAGGAGTATTCTTGCCTTTGGTTAGCCGGGAATGAAAGAATGAAGCGTTCCCCCGTGCATTGTTGTGGTAGGGATTGCTAGCAAACACTCGGAAAACGAAATACATCTAATTTGTTTCGACACATGGAGATGTGTACCGGATGGGTTTTAAACAGTGACAAAGACAGTATTTTCGATTTGATGTTTTGCGAGAAATCTGTGAGCACTCTTTTTTTTCTCGAAATCCACTGGAATGTTTTTGTCTCTGCGCCTGTGACTATTATTCTAGAATCGGAGTCTCGGAGGTTTTGTCTTTTTTTGCGAAAACTTATGACATCTGTGAACTTAGACTGCTTCCATCCGAGAGACTGTTTCCATCCGAGATACAAAGCTGTGACACAATGCAACCTGCGTTCTCGAGCTGCGTCTGCATCTTTGCTCACACATGATGCATGTCAGCAAGAGCACGAAGCCTCTAGCAGTATAAGTTATAACTCTGACTTTTGGGATTCACGGGCGTGCATACGTGCATGCATGCATCCGTCGTAGAGGATACATATGTTGCATCTTATTATATCATGTTATATCATATCATACTGTGATATCACATGAATTTCTCTGAAGGGTCCTAGAGAGTTGGTTTTGTAGGGTCTAAGAAGGGCTGTAATCATCTCTTTGATCTGTTTGTTGCAGGGATTTCGAGCGTTTGGAGTTGAGGCTTGGGTTTTAAAGTTTAGTTGTCGGGATCCCGACCTTAACCCCCCAAACGTAAAATCTTAGACCTGAATGCTCTTTGACCCTAAACACTATACGTGAACAAACCCTAAACTCTAAACCTTGCACACCCTAGACCCCAGC